TTAGATGTGTGCTGGAATGTGGAAAAGTATTTCAGTAAACACTGTGATCCACTTCAGGCAAAAATAGGAACCCCAATATATGATTAATAGCACAGAAATAAGATCAGTCATATACTTTGTATTTGCAGATAAAATGAATGAAACTAAGATACTGGGTGACAGGGCAAAGAAAAAGGATACTTGGGGGCCATAGTTGTGGAAAATGTCAGCACCCTATATCAGATTTTGCTTCATTGCTCCACTTCCATTCCAGCTTCCTGCTACTATACCTGGGAAAGCAGTGGAAGATGGCTCAAGTCTTTGGTCCTCTGCCACCCAGATGAGACCTACACAGAGTCTCCTGGTTTAGCCTGGTTCAGCTCCAAGTAACCACTGTGCTCATTTAAGGAATAAACCAGCAGATTCAAGAGCTCAGTCTCCTCTTTTTTTCTCCCTCCTTCCCTCCCCCACCCTCTTTATATATCTTGTTTTTCTGTAACTCTCCTTTTCAAATAAATAAATAATTTTTTTTCAAGAGTATTTGCAATTCTAAAAATCATGTTGAGGTTTTCTATTACACATTTTTAACTTGGCAATACACATTTTTCTTTTTTTTAAATTTAACCAATTTTTTCCTATTTTATTTTAAAATTTATGATACAATTTCATAGGCTCTGGAATTTCCCTTATTCCCTCTCCACAAATTCCCTCTTCCCAACTGATTTTCCCCCATATTATTACAATAGTATAGTCCTTTATAAGCAGCCCATCATTCTGCTAACTAAGTGTATCCTGATATTGTGGGTACAGACAATGGCAGACAATCCAGCATTCTATTGTCAAGATTACATTAAATATTTTTAAAGCAAAATTTCCTACTCATATATTATGCTTTTGGTTCTCAGCAAATGTTCTTATAAAATTCAGTTTACAAGTTACTCTACAAAAACAAAACAAAATGGAGAAAACAAAATACAAAAATTATATTGTTAATAGAAACTGAAAATAAAAATTACTTCAGATCTGAGATTTTATTTCAGTTCAACAAATTTAGAAAAATCTATCATAATTGAAAATAGTAAGATCATGCAAGTATCCATTTTCATGTACAAAATATAAAATGTACTTACTTAAAATTTAAAACAAGGTAGGTAAGTTTATCTAAATGAAAGGCAAAAGTATTTATTTATTTACAGTTAATTCTATTCCAATTTAAGTAACTGCAATAAGCTATGAAAAAAATACTCAGAAGTACAAAATATAAAACACTACATATCATAATATCACATACTATTAAGATACATTAAATAATATCTTAAAATAAGGTGGCTATCTTGTTTGAAAATGTATTTATGAATAATTAATAAGATTTTAAGGCTTATTTAGCCAAAATAATACTCTGGCAAATTCCCAGATTTGAAACTCAACCCATATTCTCTGACCACAATATCACAGGTACAACTGAAAAGAAAAACATTAGACTTTGTCCCTAAGCATTTTCACCTTACTAAGACCTGTAAAATAAAAATGAGCTCCAAAGTTTGGTACACAGAATGAGACCATCACACATTTATACATACAAAATTATGCAGAAATTGGAAAAACAAATGTGGTACAACATAACTATCATCCAATGCTGCCATAAGTCCCAGAAACATGTCAGGAAAAGTAACTTGGCTACTGCTCCTAAGGACCAGCATGAGTCTATTATTTTCACAAAAATTCGTTTTTTTTTGTTTGAAATATGGGCCCAGTGGGCTGCTTGGATACATGGCCATATCTGCCCCCAAATGGCCCTGCACATACTCTATGTGGACACTGTGAAATTTTGGATCCCTGGCTTAAACTGTGAGCCTTTTCAAATGAGTCAAGCAGTGACTCTGGGGCATAAACCCGCTTTCACATTATGTCAACTTTCCACTACACTCTTTTTTCATCATGAACTATTGCTTTTGAAATCTTCCAATCCTATTAGTCCATCCAGGATGGTATCAAATTATTTCTTTATCTTCCTTTTATATTATTTTGTAGTAAAACATTTTCCCCCAGGTCTGAAAGATTCTAACTAGGCATTAGAAGAACAGACATTAAATTCACCCTTTCCTGAGACTTTTACTCTCTCAGGGTCATTTTCATCTAGAAAACAGATTCTTATGAACCCAAGCAAGTTTTTATTAGACTATGAAAGGATCAACAAAATATAGATCACAGATATAGCCCAGTCCACTGCCTCCGTGGGCAGGGTGGGGTGGGGTGAATGGTGGAGGGCAAATAACAGCCATGCTTATTCATTTATACGCTATGTAAGGCTGCCTGCAGGCTACAGAAACAAACTTAAGTAAATGATTAGACACAGATTACATGGCCTGCAAAGCTTAATGTATTTACTTTGCCATATTTCAGAAAGTGTGATAAATTTCGGCCTATCCCAGTAGCTGACACTGCTCAACAGATAAATGCATAGGTATGAATGGGTGAATTCCCACCTAGAATTTTTTTTTTACAGATTTATTTACTTATTGGAAAGCCAGATATACAGAAAGGAGGAGAGACAGAGAGGAAGATCTTCTGTCCGTCCAATCATTCACTCCCCAAGTGAGCTCAACTGCTGATGCGATGCCGAAGCCAGGATCCAGGAACTTCTTACGGGTATCCCACATGGGTGCAGGGTCCCAAAGCTTTGGGCCGTCCTCCACTGCTTTCCCAGGCCACAGGCAGGGAGCTGGATGGGAAGTGGAGCTGCCGAGATTAGAACTGGTGCCCATATGGGATCCTGGCACGTTCAAGGTGAGGACCTTAGCCACTAGGCCACGCCGCCGGGCCCTCCCACCTAGAATTTTATCCTCTTACTTGTCCTATAGATTTCTCCCCAACTCCAATTTTCAATAGCTTACATCTTGGGGACAGAGTGGACCTAGTCTGATTCCTATCCCTGTATGAAGACAGGCCAAAATTCACTGTTTAGGACAGGTGGGTTCTACCCATCTTAGCTCTAATATAAGCCTACCATCTGATACTTTGTTGCTTCCAATATTCTAGGTATACTATATTCTATAGGAGAAATAGATCCTGATTACTTGCTCTCTTCAGGGAATAAGGATCCTGACTCTGCATCAGGTTCTTTTAAGTTACCTGCCCTTCTTCATGTCATCTACCTTTTCCTGTTTTAGTCTCCATTTTCTTGCCAGCACCAGCGTCAATCCTTTCCCGTCCTTCAGTTACTTGATTTACTTTGAGTGTTGAATGATGTCAAATTCAGGATTCATTTCCTCTTGTTATCATGTAAGGAAAATAGCTTTTTTTTTTTTTTGTCTAGTTTAGTCCTGATTCAACTTCACCAGGGATTGGATTATGAAAAACAGGACTACTACATGGCTGATTCATCCCACACCATTAATTAAATAAAACTTTAAAATTCTTAGCGTTCTCAGAGTTAGCAATGGTATTCATACACTTGCCACTGGAAAAAAAAGAAGAGACACTGGATACCTTTCCATCTACAATTAATATTCTCCTATATGGCTTTATGATGCTATAGGAAGATGACCATGGATTTAGGACAATATATCCAGAGGATACAGAATATGTGTTTTTTGTATAATATTCACAGATATAAAAAGACAATGATTTTTTAAAAAATTTTTAAATTTTTGTTTTATGGTACAGTTTAATAGGCTCTGGGATTTCCTGTCCTCTCTCCAAGTCCGCCCTAGCCTCAATTTCCCCTGTAGTATTGAAATGGATGTCCTTCATGAATAGCCATAAGTCTATCATGCTGTTATTAAAGTGCCCAACAATGTAGGAATGGACAATGTCGGAATCGTGATTTTTAGGATTTATTTAGAATACCTAATTTTTGACCATAAACACCTTGTTGTTCATGCTCAAAGTAGCATTAGATAAATGTTATTGTTGTGAGTGATTTTAATATAGAACTATAGTAGAAAATGTAGGAATTCCAATAAAAGTACTATATTATAGGAGTTGCAAAGGTCAGATGAAAGATCTAACTAAGATACAAGCATCCTGAGAATAGAGGGATAGATACACAGCTGTTTGGAGAAGAAGCTTTCAAATTTATGGAATAGATGGTTAGATGCCATAGGCATTAGTTAAAATTCTCTTCAAAAATGAGTTCTTAATTTATGGATTTGATTAGAAATAGCAGTAGTAACAGCCAGTTTATTCTGGATGAACTTATTGACGTCGAAATATAACATGCTTTTGTTTTAGACTTCTAAGGTTTTATTCAAGTCCTCACTCGCCTATTCTTCAGGGAGAACTTAGCATACTAAGATTTACTCAAGATAAGTACTTGGTATGTTTTGGTAGATAAATAGGTCATAGACCTTTGAAATAAAAAGCCACAGCATCTTGTTTATATTCTTGTTAAACAAAAATGCAAAAAGTTCCAGACTAAAGATTTGGGAAGCAAAATTAAAATTTTGTCTATATAGCCCTTGCTTCAACATCAAGCTTAAAACAATCTCTATAGATACTAAAGAAGATGGTCTGAGAGTATAAGGAAACAAATAAGAAACTAATAGAAGACATTTTTAAAGACATATTTAAAATTCTTACATATATTAGGCTATAATGTCAGAACATATCATTAAAGTGAATAAAGACCTTCTACAAACTAAAAATCTTCTACGCCAAAGCTCACCACTAACAGATCTTATGACCCAGATATTAAGAATTTGGTGTCATTTTAATCACTCAGAATAATTAATCAGGCATGATAAAGTACCCTCAAATCAAAGTCTATATGAGTTTTCTAATAAAGTGTATTTCAAGACTGTATTTTCTCAATTGAAAAAATTAAGCCAAAATGATTTTGAAAACAGAAACAGTTCTCTTCTGATTTGCTATGCTTCTGTTAGCTTTACTGTGATATATCAATATATTAAAAAGTTTATGTTTCTGATGGAACATTTTGAAGTAAGAATAAAAAGCCCCAAAAGGTCTACTGTGGATTTCTGGATTGTCTGAAGAATATGATACAAGATTCTTTAACTCACCTCCAGATGCCTTTGACCTTTCTTTCAACTTTTCTGCAGCCATTTCACCATAGCTGGGAAGTTCTGACATCTTCACTCCAGATCGAGCTTCTGCTATTAGCTGACGAGCTCTCTCTCTCAGCTGCCGACGTCGCTCTTCATCTTGCTGTTAAGATATATTGAACAGTTGCCAACTCAGTAATTGACAGAAATGCAATTTCATTTTCAATCTGATCATCATGATAGTAACTGGTTTACAGCATGGTGCTTGGCCCACATTATAAATAGGATGCTCTATATCAGTTGGATGTCACACCATTTTAAAAAGACATCCTAGAAACAGTTTTTAAAAACCAAAACTTTTGTATTAAAATATCCATCAAAAATTCAAACTAGAAAATATTTGGCAACACATGCTACTGAGAAAATATAAGGAAACATTAATAAGAGAACACGGCTTATAGAAAGTCTATACTAAAAATAGAGAATTATAATTATTTTTAAAGATTTACTTATTTTTATTGGAAAGTCAGATTTCAGAGAGAAGGAGATTCAGAGAGAAAGATGCATTCACTGGTTCACTCCTCAAGCAGCTGCAATGGCTGGAGCTGAGCCGATCCAAAGCTAGGAGCCAGGAGCCTTTTCCAGTGAGTGCTGGGTTTCAAGGCTTTGGACCATTCTCTAATGCCTTCCTGGGCCACAAGCAGGGAGCTAGAAGGGAAGTGGGGTAGCAAGGACATGAATCAGCACCCATATGGGATCCTGGTATGTGCAAGACGAGGATTTTAGTTAGCCACTAGGCTACCATGCCAAACCCAATCTCTTGTTTTTTTAAGAGAATAAAATTTAGCTTGCTAATATCTAATAAAGCCAAGAGCACTGTCTAAAAGCATTTCTGATACTAGAAAATATCACTGCCCTTTATTGGTCAAATACACATAACAGTTTTATTACGAGGGGCTGGAATAAAGGTGATAGTATATTAACAAAATTTTGATTTTAAAATATTGAGACAAATGTTGTGACGTAAACAGTAAAACTAACAGCTATGGCACCAGCATCCCACGTGGACTCCAATTTGAATCCTAGCTGTTCCACATTCAACCCAGGTCCCTGCTAATGTGCCAAGAAAAGCAGTGGAGGATGGCCCAAGTGCTAGGAACCTTGTGCCCAAGGGAGAGATCGGAAGAAACTCCTGACTTCTGTCTCCTGGCTTTAGCTACTGTGGCCATTTGGGGAGTGAACCAGTAGATGGCAGATATCTTTTTCTCTGTCTCTGCAAATCTGCCTTTTAAACAAATAAATAAATACTGACAAAAAAGAGAATCTATCTATAACAATTACCTAACAGTGATGTGAGATCTTTTTGGATTATTCCCCCTCTCTTCATAGATACACAATGAAAAAATCTTATATGACTTTCTATATTTAAAGTGATTAAAATGACAAATAACTAAGACACTGTTGACTACTAATAAAACGTTATGAATCATAAATACTCGATGAAATTGCTTTGTATACTGGAAAACATATACACCAATATATTATGGCAAAATAAAGCATGAATCATCTGGCTGGAACAAATCTTTGTGCAGCTATCTTATATTAACATCTCCTAATCCATAAAACTTCACATTTATTCATACAGAGTTGCTTATGTCATGTAGCTTCATGTACTTGTGGATTTGAACAGGTCATTTCCTCTTCCTAGAACCACTTCTTTCATCTTATACAATTCCTACTCATTCTTTAAATTTACCAAATCTTCCCTGTCCACAGTGGAATGAAGTGCTGCTTCTTTTACGTTACTATAGCATCTTTTTCTTTACCTATATTTAAGTATATATGTTTCATATTACTTTTAAACCAACAAGTATTAAGTTTAATTATAACTGTATAGATGCTCCTTTCTCATTAGAATTGAGCTACTTGAAGTCAGGAACTCTATCTGGTTTCTTGAATTGTCTGGACTTTAGTACATACTTAGATGCTAATATAAGTGCCACAAAAATTTCAAGCATGAAAATTTAATACTGATACTCTCAAAAAGCATATAAGACAGGAGGGAAGAAAAAATATATGGAATTATGATCAAAATGCTGCAAAGGAGGCAGATGTTTAGCCTAGTGGCTAAGATGCCAGTTAGTCACCAACATCACACAATGAAGTGACTTGGTTTAATACATAGAGGTGGCTCCTAACTTCAGCCTTCTGCTAATGCAAACCATGGAAGGCAGTGGTAAGAGCTCAAAAATTTTGGTTTCTGTTATTCGTGTGGGAGATCTGGGTTGTATCCTAGGCTCCTGGATTCCATCTGGCTAAAAACCAACCATTGTAGACATCTGGGCAAAAGAAAGTGTATTTTTAGCTGAAGGGCAGAGCATTGTAGCATCATGGTTTTGAGCTGGGCCTAAAGAATGAGTAGGGTTTGTAAAGAGTTTAGGTGGGAACTGGTGGTTAGACTGGCCAATGTAGGATACACTAGGAAGTAAAAATAATGCAAATACACAGAAGTAAGAAATAATATTGGAGGAAAAAGATAAAATCAAGTTTGAATGAGCACAGCACAAATAAAGTTAGAAACATAAGGAAGAAAAGTAAATCTGGGTAGATAATATAAAGGCACTAACAGAGGAAATGCTTTAATTTTATTCTAACATAACTAATGAAACTAGTGAAAGTCCATTTTAATTTTTGTGTGTATGTCTTTTTTGTTTTTAAGGTCTAGAGGAATGACGAACCAGAGGTGCATTAAGGACTAATCTGGCAATGGTACACAAAATAAGTTGGCAAAGAGGGACTGAAAAGAAACTAGGAGGATCTTATATGACTCAAGGAAGCTATAATCAGATCCAAGAGTAGGATGGTGTAAGAAATACATTAGAGTAGAACTGATAGCTATACTAATTCTTAGTAACAGATTAGATGTGAGAAAAAAAAATGACTCAGAAGTTTTAAATGTGGCTAACTAGTAGAACTCTGTCACTAACAATAGAAGTGGAAAAACTAAAAGTAACTATAAAAAGGAAGGTAGAGGAAGTCTGAATGAGACAGACTAGTTTTGAAGAGATGTTAGGACATGACAGGTAGTTAGGAAATGAAATTACTGCTAGATTGTGAGGCCAAACTATGACTATGAACCTGTTGGATGATGTTACAGGAATAAATGAAAGAACTTGAAAAGCTACTGTAGAAAAAAAGATCTATTGACTAAAACATGAAAAGAATCTTTATCTAGATAGGAAAAGGAGGCAGAGAAATATGGTGAGGACAACAATAGATTTCATGTACCATGAGAACCAAAGTAAAAGATGCTTAAAAAAGAGGGGGTAACAAATTGCAAGAAATATTAGAAACACGTCTGAAAATTCAAAAATCACAATCAAACTTGGTAAGAAACATCACTATAAACAAGTGCAGAAATGCGAAGAGTGAAACTGAAGTATAGGCAATTCGTTTAGGGATCTTCAAATCAGGAAAGCTGTCAAAAATCATGGGATAAGTTAATGCGGACTCAGACATAAACTTGAAGCTCTGATGCACTGACTTGGAAAATTTCAATATAAAAAGAATAGTGATTACAATGAATTTAATCAATGAAATCACACACTTAATCAATGAAAATTTGAGTCCACTATGATATTATAAAAGCGAGAAATAAAAATTCCTGTTGGCATTTGAGGCAGCTTTTTAAATAAGTCCTGAAAACTAATTAAGTAAAAAAAGAAGATACAATTATTTACCTGATTTTTTTCTAATGGGATTGGGAATTGAATGTTTTTAAGATATTTATTTTACTTATTTGAAAGGCAGAGTTGCAGAAGATAGAGGGAAGGAGGGAGGGTAGGGAAGGGGAGAAAGACAGACAGAGACAAAAGAGAACTCAATCATCATCTTTTATTTTATACCCCAAATGATCACAACAGCCAGAGATAGGTCAGTCTGCATCTTCCATGTGGATTCAGAGGCTCAAGCACCCAGACCATCTTGTGCTGCATTTGTGGGCACATCAGCGGAGAGCCAGATTAGAAGTAGAATAGCAGGAATCAAACCAGTGCCCATATGAGATGTGAGGGCTGCAGGTGGTAGCCCAGTAAGTATGCCACAGTGTTGGCCCAGGGAACTGAATGTTAGGGCAAACAGTATCCATCAACGAAAGAACGCTTTACTTTATAAAACACCTTCAGCTAATGAATGTGGAAAAAAAAGGTAGAATTGTAAAAACATCACTTTGAAAGCCCTAATAAATGATTCAACAAGGATAATTAGTAAAGCTTGAGGTAAATGTCTGCTGGGGAACTGGATATTCATATTATGTTGCACATATGCAGCGTATTTTCTAAATACAGTGCCAGTAGCATCTCTCATCCTACATGTTCTTCCACTGTGTGATCTTACCACTCCTTAATAAGAAGTATAAGAATAAGAAGGGCCAGCTTTAGTGACTTGTATAGAATCAACAGAATATGGAAGTGTTGCATTTGATTTCTAAAGCTAGGATAGAAAAGGACCTCTCCCTTCTGTCTAGTTCTTTTGAAATATTTGAATTCTCTAGTCTCTCTGGCTCAACCATCATGCTGTAAGAAGCAGGAGTTGTATGTGAGTGACTCAGTCAACAGTCCCTGTCACATTGAGCCTTGGGTTATCCTGTTCTGGGTAACCAGATGTGTGAATGAGGAAGCCTTCAGATAATCTGTCTCTAGCCATTTTCAGTTATTCCAGCTGTTCAGATCCTCCCAGCTGAGGGCTCAGACAATGGTGAAAGACAAAACATTCCCATTATGCCCAGTCTGAAGTTCTGACTACAGAATTTTGAGAACACAACAATTTTGTTACAATACTGTGTGGTCTATTGCTCAGCAATAATAAAGGGAACCTATACTTAAAAAATATCACTAATGGATTACTTTCAGTTACAAGTTAAAGCCAAATGTGTAAGTAAAGAGATAAGAACTAGAGAAGAAATTTAAGATCATTAGTTCAGGAGTTGTTCTTAGACTTCATTAATGTGGTTCAATCACATGTCATACATATTTTACATGACGTATATGAGATGCGAACCATCTATAACATCCTAGCCCAAATGTTTAAAGTGAATCCACTGAGCATTTAGATATTATTTCACATTGTCATAACCACTGCAGTTAGAGAAACATGACATATTAT